ATATATATATAGTATATATATATATATAACACATATATATATATATATATATATATATATATATATATTCATAATTTGTACGCGTAACATACCGCACAAGCGTCTCTGGGGCCATCCATCTTACGGGCAGTCGTTGTGGCATTTGTGAAGTCTTCACATATGTTGAGTGTATTGCGTTGGTCCGTCTGGCAAGGCCTAAATCTGCCACCTTAGCACGAGGTGCGCTGTAGTCACACACATTGAACACGTACAATATCGTGAGAGTGTACTTTGCTACGTGCACATCCCAGGGTCTGTCTTTGGACAATACAAGGAATTTTATAATGGTCTAACAATAGATCTACGTAAGTTTTAGCTAGCCGAATCTATGCCAGCGACCAAAACCCAGTCTTGGGAGTATGGGAGTACTCTGTTCTATAAATAGATACACATACCAGTTGTGTGCCGTGGGTGACTGTAGCAACACATTGCGCACGGCCACATCTCGGTGGATGATGGAGGTGGAGTGCAGGTACTCCAGGCCTGCCGCTATCTGCAGACATATAGGACAATTAAAGAGGAATGGTATATATGCTGATCCCGGTGGATGACAGTGTTAGAGTGCACGTACTGCGGACGTTAAGGTACCTACAAGGACACTGGACGATACAAAAGTAGCCATTCAGTCCTCCCTTCGGTGTATGCGAGCATTGAAGTGTAGGTAAAACAGCCAGGTGTAGATACCACACGCTTATATTGTAACAAAAGGGAATGTCAGTAGTCGTACGTGACTACCCTCACGTACACCTGTGTTTGTTGTGTCTGTTTCAACGGCTGTAACACCATGACGCTTATGAGTACATCAGTTGTGCCTGTCGTTCGTATTCCTACCTACACTATAACACACCATTGAACTACCTACATACTGCCCGTCACCACCATAAACTCACCTGTTGCATTATCAACAGTTTAATCCGCAAAGGTATGGGACCAGCGACTGCTGCAGTGGTCGTCAAGTGCGATGCAAAGTCGCCTGTGACACAGAAGACCACACCAATGACCAGGCGAAGAGTTATACACAGTAATATGAAAGAAATATGAGTATACTAGATCCTAGGGGTTTAGGGTTTAGGGTTTAAATGAGAGTGATAGCACAGGACCACACCAATGACCAGGCGAAGAGTAATACACATTGATATGAAAGGAATATGAGTATACTAGATCCTAGGGGTTTAGGGTTTAGGGTTTGTTTGAAAGTGATAGACTATTTGAGTGTATTCTATTTTTCAAGGTGTGTTGCACACCATGCCGTCAGACCCAAACCATCAGCAACATACCCCGGTGGTTACCAAGGATACACTACAAGGTAGGTATATATAAGAACCCTAAAAACCCTAAAGTTATGCCAAGTACATGTATAGATAGACAAGTATAGCCAAGCACATTACAACACTCCTGGTATGTAGGTAGATGTCTGCCACAACACTGCTAGTTGACATGTATAAATCTATTGATATCCTATCCGCATGTACTAATACAGGTTGCATATACTCATACCCGTTTCATTGTATGCAGGCAAACCTCCATCCAGTGCCAATCACAAACACCCCCATCTCATGAATATGTGTGGGTGAGTGGGCGTGTACGCAACACTCCTGTACACGTGCGTGGCTACATTTGCAACACATTCAAGCATGTGTATACATCACCAGACACCCATTCACAGATTTGCTATACAAACACTCATACTACTAAACACGTGTATATATCACGATCCGTGAAATACTTTAGTAGCAAACACGTGTATATATCACTTGATCCATACACGCTCATACCCATTTCAAGTAGCAAACACGTTTATATATCTCCTCACCCATTTTACAATACTTTAGTAGCAAACATGTGTATATATCACTTAATTAATACACACTCATACCCATTTCACCATAATATAGTAGTAAACACGTGTACATATCACTTAATCCATACACACTCAAACCCATTTCACCATACTATAGCAGTACACGTGTATATATCAATTAATCCACACACACTTATACCCATTTCACCATACTATAGTAATAAACACGTGTATATATCTCCTCATACCCATTTCACAGTACTATAGTAGTAAACACGTGTATATATCTCCTCATACCCATTCCACAATACTATAGTAGTAAACACGTGTATATATCTCCTCATACCCATTTCACAATACTCCAGTAGCCGGCACACCTGAAGGCCCTCTGAGCACAGCCCATACGCACGCAGCACATTGGGGTGCGTTAGTGAGCGTATCAGCTCACCCTCAGCAACCAACTCATCTATGCCCATCACCCCCACAGCCCTGCATGTGGCAGAGGAAAGGCGTATATGTATGTGTATGCATGTATATCCATGTAGAGTCTAGGGTTTAGCGTTTGTATTAGTTCACTTCAGCAACCAACTCACCTATGCCCGTCACCCCCACAGCCCTGCATGTGGCAGGGGAAGGGCGTTTATGTATGTATATGCATGTATATGCATGTACAGTCTAGGGTTTAGCGGGCGTATATGTATGTATATGCATGCACATGCATGTAGAGTCCAGGGTTTAGCGTTTGCGCGTTAGTGGGTGTATTAGTTCACTTCAGCAACCAACTCATCTATGCCTGGCACCCCTACAGCTCTGTATGTGGCAGGCAAATAATGTATACGTATGTGTTTGCATACATATATATCTAAAGTTCAGGCTATAGGGTTTAAGGTTCAGGGTTTAGATGCATGTGTGTGTAGGGGTTAGGTTTGTGAGCGTGCATGTATGTATATGTGCACGGCTATTGGAGTGTAGTTCAAATTGCTTGCAAGGATTCAAGTCACACCCGCACAGGACCACGCGCCAAAAAACAAACAACATTACACCCTATAACAAACAACATTAAACCCTAAAATAAACAAAATTAAATCAAAACAAATATTAAACTCTAAAACCCACGTTCTTAGAGGTTGCCTAAGAATAACATAAAATACAAAGCTGTGGGCGCGGGTGCGTGTACACTTCTGGTTATACCTGTGTAGGTAACGACAATGGCATATATGCGCTTAACGATAATGGCATATATGCGCATGTGATGGAATAGCTGTAGCTACCTAGTCACGGAGGATTTATAAGCATAGCGAACCACAACCCCCACACACACACCTCGTGACCTTGGTGGTGCAGACGGTGGATTGGCTGTCTATAAATAGAACACACTTGTTCTATAAGTAGAACACCCTTGTTGACAGTACCAAACTGACCCTTGCAAATCTGCATACACGCATAAACATGACTACCTACAACCCACACGTATTAACGTAACTACCTACAATCCCCCCACACACACCTCGTGACCTTGAACACCCTTGTTGACAGTACCAAACTGACCATTGCCTATCTGCTCGAGAATGGTGAAGCTATCTCTGCTGATGGGACGATTCTACATCCAATAAGATGAGTCATAGGCAGCGGAGTGTAGTACACAGAGTATAAGCAGGGTTTAGGGTATTTGGGGCTATAGGGATTTTAGGGTTTTAGGGGTTAGGTTGTAGGTTTCAGGTTTAAAGTTTATTTGCTGAGATAACTGTCAAAAACATGTAAACGTATACAAATATATGTTAACTTAATCGCTGGTATTGCTTGCAGGTGCTGAGCTAAAGGCCGGAAAGCAGTTCTGGAATACTTGAAGCCCTACAGGTACCTATGAACCTGTACTATCATGCGCATGTATGCAAGTATCTGAATACACACACATTCACTCACTACCTCATATAAACTCAGACTGTCTTATGCACACGCATGTATGCAAGTATCTAAATATGTGAT